TGCAGTGAAAGTTTCAATACTTTCTGCTCTTCTTTTTTTAGGAATAACGGTAATATATAGTAGGCAATGTCATGAGGGGAAAAGATGCATTTTCTAAAGTGGTACCTTCCCATGGTGGAGCAGAAAGTCATACAGACAGAAAATCACTCACTGGCAATCCACTCAACTCTAAAATCACTCAGCGGTCATCAGAGACTCTTAAAGCCTGACAGAGAGTAGCTGTCAAATATTCACACAGGGATACTTAATTCAACCGAGTCAGGTGTGTGTACGTGTCGGCATTGGCACGTATGTGAATAAACATGCAAATCTGAAGGTTTTAGTTTTGTGAGCTTCAAGTGAAATGTGATAGAGTATGCCAAGCATGCATGTACGTGCTATAGTATTAGGACATAAACGGCGCTCAGTGGAAAACGTTTCCATTTCATGGTACAGTCTCCTGTCACATTGGCTGAAATTATTATCAACAACAAAAATCACTAGATGAGGCTTTAAACTGTAGTCGCATAAGTAGAGCATTTTATTAACCATATAGAGTCATATAAGGAAAACGTAAGACAATGCTCAGTGATCCAGCTTAAGGAGTTGCGAGATTCTACAGTTACCGTCGCTAATATCGGCGCATCTTATTATTATCGATGTCAGTAAGGGTTTCATATAATTTAGAGGGTAAGTAACTGATACTGACAGACAAAAAAAGACTTTGCTTTCACTCTTGAGACAATGCAATAATAAATAGATGGGACCACAAGTAAGTCCTCCATTGACTTAAATGAGGATGCCATTATGTCAAACAGTGACACAGAGCACAGCGGTCTTAGATATCATATGTGACACAAAGTTAATGAGATATCAAGGCAGAGGTGCAACACCTCTCACTCTATTGAGTGCCTTGATCATTGACTGAAATGGGAGCGACACATATATTACTCCATGACAGGCCTCACCCTGGAGCGCTTGGCTGGCTTGGTGTGTGTTTGTGTATCAAAGTATGCAAGGCGTGCATGAGGGGAAATGTGTTAATGCATGTGTAAAGCATGCTACTTAGGGAAATGCAAATTTTGTATCTGTGTTTGAATCTGAGTAGGTCTTTGTGTATGTGCATTTATGTGTGTGTGTAGGCTGCACGTTTGTGTGTGAGTGATAGCAGAGACAGCCCAGACACTGACCTGTTCTGACATATAATATTATTCTGCCACGGGGGATCGAAACTGAAAAGGGAGAAAATCCATAGTGCACAGGAGACAACGGTGACGGAGAGGGGTAAGAGGTTTATTGGGAAAGAGGAGAAAAAAAACAGAGAGAAAGTGCAGGAAGAGACAGAAGGGAGCGAGAGAGCATGACACTGAGGGGGAAAATATATCAAGTTCTTAACCTCACGGGAATCAAATATAGCAAAAGGGACGGGATTGAAGAAGACAAACGGATCAGAATAAATCAGACAAAGACAGAAAACCAAAAATGTCTGACTCATGGAGTCTGTTAATAATATTATAGCTTTGCGTCTAGCCTCCAGCTTAAAAAATAAATAATTTCAGGCGTCTGTTTACTACCTTCTAAATGTATTTGTCAGCATGAGAAGAATTCTTAACAGGTTGAAAGTCTCCACATTGACAAAATGTTTTCTCTAAAGGAAAAATCAATGATTGGTAAGCTCTGCATGTACAGAATGTAGAGGATGTATCCAGTGTTTCCCAGTTCCACCAAATTTAGGAATAATTAAACCGTTAATTTGATTCATTTGCTTAAACGTACACAGTCAAGGCGGCAGTGTCACTGTCAGTGGCACTGCAGCAGAAGGGGGAAAAAAATCAGCTTGTGTCAATGCAGTCAGCAGAGAGGGACAGGCATTAGTGAACCACTAGAGTGCACCCTGTAGCTTTTAACACAAAGTAGATGAAAAAAAAAGACAGACAGAGAGACAGCGGGGTTGCAGAATGAAATATTATAAGGAGAAGCAGAGAACGAAAGAAAGATTTGGGTAGGAGTCGAGAGTGGGGGAGGCGGGGCGCGATGGAGAGATAGAACGCTAACAGCCAAATATTTGGTGGTGCAGTGCAAGAAAAAAAAGAGGGGGAAAAAGATGCAGGTGAGAAGAAAGGAACGGAAATGCAGAGCAGGGGATGAAAGAATAAAGTAAAGTATAAAATCAAGAGAGACATATTCAGAGGGGATATCGGCTTCCTTCTTGTATTCGCTCTCAGTTCTGCTCTGCAGTGCTTGCTTGCCACTCTGGAGGTGTCACCCCGTCATAGAGAATTTATCCATGAAAAACCTTCATCCAGTCCTGCCTCTTGTCAGTCCTGCCTCCTCCCACTGCGCTGCTTCTGAAAAGCAGCCCTTTTTTTTTTCATATGACTTACTTATCATGGAAAATTCAGTCTCAGCTGATAATTACTGAAGCACTGCCCAGAAGAACTGCTTCTTGATATATATTTATGAGTCGCCCCAACCCAGTCTGCTAGCAGGAACTGGACTTTTACATTTCCGCAACAGCATGATGTCTGACAGTGTCTCTGGCCATGAACTCATTTAAAGCGTGCACACTGTGTCTGAATTGCATCACATAGGGAGTTTCAGGTGTTCCCCTGGGTTGTACAGTTGCAGTGATACTTCACATTCGAGTTGTTCTTGTTAAGTGTGGTATTCCAGTGATTCGCACGCAGGGTGTAACAGATTTTTTTTCCCACAACTTCCTGCTGCCAATCGGAGTTTGACTTTGGTCTTGTCGACCTTAATGGCGAGCGCCACGGCTATGACCTGCTGTTTTCATGTGAACCAAATATCCAGAGTGGTGGGAGAGCACACTATTATCTTATGTGTTGCCATAATGACAGGTTTCATCGTGGTTCGTGAACAGGACTGTCTCCCGAGCAAAGCCATCAAATGACAATGTGTATTCATGATCTCTCTGTACCATACTAGCTTGTGGTAGCCCATGTGCTGCAGAAATACCACAATTTTAAAATCCTTTAAAAAATCGTTACAGAAAATTCGAGGTGTGATTTGTCTTTGGTGCCACTATTTCTCAACCCATTATGCCAGAATCACAGATGTCAGCTCACTAGGTAAACGTGTTTTCTCAAGCTGTCGGTGTCAAGTTTGTAGTGAAGGTGATAAATACTTTTGCTGATGCAACAAACAACCCTATTTTACAATAAAATACTACCTTATTTGTGTTTCTGGGGATAATAATAATTAAGTATACATGTTTACATGACCAACAAAAAATGATTCTTAGTAAGTGTTAATGGTTCCACTCTTCCATCTTATTAGACACTGGATTGAATGCATAATTTTAAAACTACCGTGTGCCACTTTCATCACTCCTTCTAATGCTGGCTCCGGTTTAAGTCTAATATATTCTGGAAGGAGAAAGGAGAAAGTGGGACCCTCTGGAAGAGCGAAGCACGATGCAAACAGAAAGTGGGATGCATGCAAATGAGATGCAGCAGTCAGGTATTTATGATGCTGGGTAATCACCAAGGGAATTAAGTATTTAGTCATGCGAACGTTATCTGTGTATCATTAACATCATTTATCCCCGATCAACACAGACGACCCTGTAACATGAGCGGCATGTCAAAACAGGGCTGAGTCGGTGCTTTGTAAGGATGCACTGTAGACCATACGGTAAACATCTTCAATTCTCTGTATTACGCATTATGAATTAGGCATTACTAGCAAATGCTGAATGGGCACTGATATTTGCATAACTTATGTAAGAAAAAAAATAAGAAACTTTAATCTGCATATTAGTGCACCTGATAAAAATGACTGGGTAATACATAAAAGTACATAAAAACATAGTAATGACAGTGAATGTTGGAAAGGATAGAAAATGTCTGTGAAACTTTTAAAAGACAACATCCCAACAATAGAAATTGTTCAATACCCATAATACATCAAAAATACGCACACTAAAGATGAATGGTCACAAATATCACTGTATTAAAAATACACGATAGCAAAACTTGCAATTCTTTCCTTCTTATGAGCAGCCAAAGGAGCATGAAAACCTTTGGAACGTGAAAATCTACTCCAGCTGCCAAAAACATATGCGCACAGTGCGTGACGTGCGCCTTAGTCACATGACAAATTTTATGATGAGTCTGAACATTTAACAACATGCTGGACAGCAATGCTTTCAAGTAAATTTGCCCTCTTGGAGAGCAAAGATGTCGGGTGATTCATGGAGAGAGACTGAGCCACAACACTAAGGAGTTTTTGTTTTTTAGGGATGCTATACCATGAAATGCAGAAGGGTGACAAATAAAGTGAAAAGCCAATATAATGTGTTTTAGTAAGATTTTGTGCATCCAGAGCAGCTTCCACTCCCCCGCCCGGCATTGATTCTCCAAGTTTCTGGACCTCTGCTGGACCGATGAGCATTATTCTTCCAAAGCACATTTCCTCATTTGGTGATTTGATGATGGTGGTGGAGAGTGCTGTCTAACATTCAAAATCTCAAGTGCTCATTTGCGGTGAGAGGTGGTAACAGCCATACCAGTATCACAGATTCACATCATTTCTACACTCAAAAAAACCCTTCAGTGACCTCCCCCCATCCCCCTAGAGAGACTAAGGAACTAGATGGTACCACTGACATCAATATAAAATAGTTTTATGATGACAATGGTTTCAAAGGCGAACACTCAGAAAAACTTTGCACTATTTTTTTTTCTCACACTTCACCACTTCACTTCACCAGGGGACTCACGTCATTTCTTTTAATTTGACACCCATCTGTATGTTTTTAAAGTGAACAGTAAAAGCTTATTTAGAAGTACTCAAATCCCCCTAATCCTCTAATCCTTGCTATTTTTTTATATTGTAGAAGAGATATTTAACACCACCGGCACCACCACCACCTGTCCTGTTCATTCAAACCCTATCAGGGGAATGACTCGACTCCGGTGTTTATTTCATTAACCACAATCATTTTGTCTGTGCCAAAGTTTAATTAACCAAAAAAAAAAATAAAAAATGAAAAGACGTACCTTGCGAATGCCTTCTTTTGACTCCTCAACGTTATTATCGCCTCCTCCTGTGCGGTTAATCATCCGCCACATTTGGGAGTACATGGGATCCCTTTCAAAGGGGTTCATTGCCTTGGAGCGCACCTGATCATAAACTGCAGAGTCCAACACTGTACCGTAAGGCAACTCTGTCTGCTTGGATAAGTCTTGCAGAGACCTACAGAGACACAGGTGGTGAAAAGGGTTAATATTCACATCATCTTCATTCATCTATCAACTGTAAAAAAGGCTGAGCCTGAAAGATCCTTCACCTGTATTGATACACATTTGATCCTTGCTGACTGTAGATGTAGTACTTTTTAACAGCATCACTCTTGTTCTACTAGTGCTCGTAATAATAGCAGACACTACGATTTCATTTGATACTTTCTGGGTAATTCTTTTGTAAAATGCTTTTCCAAATGACGGTGGTATTAAAATCACAGAAACGATCAGACCCCAGGTTAACTGCACTTTAGCAAAACACTCGTTTCAGCTTTCTATTCACTCACTTCACAGTACAAGATTACTACACAGCTCAGTCTGCACTTTTACACATACGGTACACTTATGATGGAATCAGCCTAACATGAAACACCTATTACAAAGCATATAACTATATGAAAGCAGAAAACACCTAAATCAACTATCCATTCACTGACTTGAAATCCTAACTTTGGAGCTTTGGGCTTGGCTCTACAGGACATGGTGAATAATCAGTCTTTTGTTGCTGTCTTAGTAATTCCCCGTGATACCTAAGAGGGGCTGGAAAGGGGGGATTTTGGATGGTACAAATTGAGTATAAACGGAGTGGCCAGCTGTACTGTGGTTCAGACACTCACCTAGCCATTAATTTTTCTAAGGACCAAAAGCAGGAGTTGGCAGCAACATTTAATTGACATTCAGGATTTATTTTAAAAAAGGAAACTGGCCACGACAAATGGGTATGAAAAGATGTGGCTGGAAACCAGTTTCAACAGTAGCACTAATAAGATGGCTAGGATAACCACATACTCAAGATTTCTAGAACTACACCAAGAAAATGGAAACACTCATAAAGAACTGAAAAACACAAACACACATACAAGTTTCTCTTCCTTTCTCCTTCGTTCCACCTCTCACCCATAAATTGTCACCTCTGGGGGAATACACAAGCTATTGTTAATTATAACGCAACGGTGCTTGGGTTTCCTTTCAAAGAGTTTGGCCGCTGAGAAATGTAATGGAGAACCATTACGAAAACTAATTACTGTTTGTTTGCTACATACCACCCATGGATTTGAGAGACAAACGTTTGGGAAACAAAACATGCACACAAAAACACTCAACATGTCCTGCTTAATGAAGAACAACAAGTATATATTATCTTACTTCATTAATTCAGTTGTAATACAGTACACCCACGAAGCAGACTTACAATGGGCACAAATATAAGTAGCTACTGCTTGCAATATTACTACACTGTTCATTTTGATAAATACACACCCACACAGACACGCACATGTGTGACATAATATGGAAGGGACAGCTCTTACGCTTCCCCCTTGGCTCCAGCCCTCCTTAAATATCTCGCTGACCCATTCTAAAGAAAGAAAAAATCCTTTGAAGATTTTAATGAACTTTGCCATGAACATGAATCTTTTATTTCCACCAATTAATCTTTGGCCTAAATAATCTCCCCTCCCCACCGCTCCCCCGTGAATATGCACGCCTGTCAGCACACTCTTTGACCGGGATTCCCCCTTTGTGAATTGCTTTCACTGCATAGTAACTCTAAGCTTGTTCTTTAATGGTGCGTGTGCAGGAGACAGAGAGAAAGAATCATGCATTAGCTCTGCATTACATTAGACCAAATTTCATTTGGAAGAAACCCCCCAAAAACAGATAAAAATGGTTTGTGTTGGTTTCACTGACTATTTTGATTAATAATGAAACATCGCAAGGATAGTATCCAGCATACAACTGAAATGTATGTTTAAAGAAAATACAGATCTCATATGATTTACCCTTTTTTGAACAACCACTGCATATATTTCCACGATTGACAAGGCAAGGAAAACACAAAACCTTAAAACTGAAAATGTGTGTAATTGTGTGGTTCACAAAGTCTAAAAATACTGGCGGCGGCCAGTGGTACCCCTCAGCCTCCTAGTAGATACACCTATGGTATAGATTTCAAAATCCTATGCCACCTTGTTCTCAAGTTATCACATTCAGAATATTTTCAAAGAATTTGACCTCGAGGTCAAGGTCACTGAGATTCAAAGTCATACAAGATTTTTAGTATATACACTTTTCATATCAACTTCAAAATCCTACGTGACTTACTTCTTGAGTTATGGTTTGAGTGGAAGGGTGGCTGTGTGTGATGACATTAACAGAGAACGGATCAAAAAGCAGCCAACATTCAAAGAAGAGTTTTGGACAGTCATTAAAGAAGCTGGGAGATCTATTCATGAAGACTACTTTTAAAAAAATTAGATGAAAGCATAGTGGTCAAACCAAAATCTGTAAACGTAAGAAGTATCTATAACTCTTATTTTAATGTATTTTTTTCTTTAAACACTATTAAATTCCTCAAATTCTTTTACTATTGTGTGGGTGTCTCATGGAAAAATGCCCATATGCATTATGTGTTTAACTGTCTTTCTGTGAGTGTTTTATGTGAAATTAATTTCTGTGTGTGTGTCTGTGGATCTGTGTGTCCACAAAATTGTGTTCCTGTCCTGTGTATGCTAGCTCATTTTGCAACCAATTATATTACCCCTAAGCAGCTCAATGAGCAAGTAAATGGAGTGAACAGCAGCTGAATGTTTTGTGTGACAAATAGCGAATATGTGTGTGTGTGTGTCTGTGTGTCGGGGTGAGAGAATGATTTAAAGACTGAATAGCTAGAGAGGGGCCCTTTTAATAGCAGGTTAATCTGAATATGTGCAGGAATAATTCCTGTGTGCATAGCTTTGTTTCTGCATATTTGGTCACCTGGTCACCTTTGCTAAAAGCTTCTGTCAATAAAGATCATCAGCTCCAAAAACTCTAATTTTGGTGCTAATTTGGCCTAAATGAACTTGAAAGGACATAGATGATCGTGGCTACACAGTTTTGTAGGAGACTGAATCTGTAAATGTAGAAGCCTTTATCAGAAACACATTAACCGCTAACTATACTGTACACGGGAATAGGCAATCGATACTCGGACTGAAGTCAGCTGAAGTGGCAGTGGTTCCAGCTGTGGCACATTTGGTTAGCTAAATTGAAAATCGTTATTGTTTCATAATTTAAAAATCCCAGAAGTTCTTTTGATCTGTGTGGCCATTTCAGTCTCTATGTTTTCATCAGATCATCAATATCATTGAAGTGCTGGTGCAGCATGCAATATTTTGTATTCCTGTTCATTTTTCAGGGACACCGATGTCAGAAGCAGAATGAACGTACAAGCCAAGTCACAGCAGATCAAATCAGATTTCATATCATGCATTTCTTACTTAAGCTTTACGTAATCAATATCTGCCAGTGGACAATGATCTGCTTTATCTGATTACTAAGAATGCAACAGCCACCAAAGAGTCACCTGTAACTATAAAGCCAGCAGACATATTCACACAAGCAAGTGTGAAATGACCTGATTGACTTTATTGGCAATCTTTATCAACCATAAAATATGTCTCCTCCTGTACGAGGTTGGGCCAGGAAAGAAGCGCTTTATCCTCAAACACTCCATCCATCTTTTAGTCTTCCCAGCCTAACCAATTCTTCCGCTCCATCTATTCTCTCTGTTCACTCTGCTGTCTCTCACCTCACTTTTACCCCTGAAAAATAAATTCCCCATTCTGACTCATCACCACTACCAAAACCCTTCACCATGCTTCCTTCCGCTCCTCTTCTCTCTGTTTCCTTCTCCATCTCTAACCTTTGCCTCTTTACTCCCGTTTCCTCCATCTCATCTTTCCTTCCACGCACTTGCGCTCTTCATTTCCACTTTATAATGCTTATTCCCCTTTTGTCTCTCCCTTCGTACATTCCTCTCTAGCACCCTCTCTTTGCTACTCTCCACTGCCATCTCTCACTGTTTTCCTAAAGGATTCACACTGAAATTGAGGGAAAACATCCAAGCGTGAAATAGTCCAGAGAGAGTTCTGAGCGTTCACTTGTTATTTCATTTTCAGGATGAAACAAGGGCATTAATACTTAAAAATCCTGTCTGTCCTGATAGGAGACACTAAGGAGATGAATGCCTCCATTCTTCCCCCGACCTTCTCTTCCTTTCTTGCCCATGTGTGCGCTCTTTTGCTCTTTTCCATACTAACTAAGTCGCTCTCTCAATCACACAAATGCATTCAATCTAATTCCATCTGCATAATATGTTAATTAAGGATTATCAGATAAAAGTGCATGCTAATCACAACATCACAGACTGCTATTTTTTTCTGCATGGCTACATTTCTCATCTCTCCATTGAGATTTTGTTACACTTTACAATTACTCTCAGTTTATTTTAGGAATGTTCCATCTCACCACTTATCCCCAAAACCCATCTTTGGAGGCCTTGGGCCATGTGGGTGCTGCTGTTTAGTTGGTAATTATGACACTAATGACCCAAGAAGAGTCAACACACTAAAGATAATGCATTAAAATTTATGGAAATCCTTAATTAGCTCAATGTATGCTGAATGAGGCAGCAAACTGAGAGCCACTCATTAATGACAGCAAAGTGAAAAACAAACAAACAAAAAGCAATTGAGGACAGACAAAAGAAAGAAAGAAAGAAACTATAGATTGACACATTTTACAAGAGGCTGGGCGGAAGGACGTAGAACAAAGAAGAAAAAACAACAGCATGAATGAGGGGCGCAGTGTGACCAAAGTAAACTAAAGGAAAGGTCTTCTAAACACATAAAAGAGAATGACAGAGAGACAAACTGACAGAACCAAATTAAGAAACAGATAGTTGTGAGATTTAGAGAAATAAATGTTGTTTATTCCAAAGCCAAGCACAATTAACTGTGGCACTGCCGGGCATAGCGGATGCTTCGGCATGCTGATTAGTCCAATGAGAGATGAGCGTTTCCTAGTGCCACCAGGAGAGAAGCAGCTAAACATATTATCACAAGGATAGATAAACAGAGGGCACAGCGCTTCAGGAAATGTCTGTGTGTGTGCGTGTTTGTGTGTGTGTGCATTGAACGTAGGCAGCTTTTCTAGTTGCCTTGATACCTAGGCAAAAAAAATAAAAAATAGATTGCAAAAACACTTTTAAAAACAATTTCAACATACTTTGACTGTTTCACTAACTCTCTTTGCCATTTTTTCTTCCTACCTTGATCAGTAGAACACACACGGACACACAAACACACACATATGTGAGACAGATAATATAATGGAGGACTGAGCTTGAGAAAAGAAAGGGTAAAGAATTAACTGCGCGTGTGTGTAAGCAATCTGCATGCGCATGCATGCTTGTGTGTTGCCGGGTTTCAGCACACTGAAGGTGCATGCAGTGTGTGTCTGTGTGTTAGGCACGATTTGTCATGTATACTTGTATACTTATACAGAAAGATGTGTTCGTGGTGTCGTGCAATCATAACTGAAAGCACACATTTATACAAATGCACTATATGTATATATGTAGTTTTTGCCTTGGGCTCATCTTTCTTTGCAGTACAGAGGTTGTGCATCTATTTAGATGTGCTGTGCAGTTTTAAATAGAGTTAAATGAGTCTTAAAGAGGTTACAAATGTGTATGATATGATCCACAGGCATAAACCAGATTTATAAATGTGTAAAACAATTCATCTGTGTGTAACTCTGAGTACTTACAAACGCATGCGCCAATCTACACATGGATACAAAGCAATTTGAACATTATTTTAAAAATTCTCGTGTCGAAACCTGAACAAACAGCGATCATTTACAACACAATATTTTCAAGCTCAAGTTTTCCATGTAACCAGTCTGACCACTTTCACTTTTAAAAAGCTTCCAGTGCATGAAAATATCTAAAAATATTTGCAACTTTCTTTTCGCTCACTTACAGATAAATCAAATATGTGCGCACCAGTCGCCTGATATGCACAAATCACAACACATGTGCTCTGGGGTTTTGAGGCTCTTAGTCTTTGCACACTGCCAGCTTGGCACAGATCCACAAATCTAAGCTGAGTTCAAGTGCTAGTGGAAAACTAGGACATTCAAGCCTCCTTTGTATTCCTGGGTTATTTCAAGGAAAACAGATGTTTCACATTTGTGCATCTGTACCAAACTGATAGTGTGAAAAGAGTCTCAAAACCCCAGCACCCTGCGAGCACATGTGGCATGATGATCAGGTGACTGGTGCACACGTATTTCCCGATATTTGAATGAACAGAAAGTCACAACTATCTTTAGACAGTTGCACGGGAACCTTTTTGAAAGTGAAAATGAAAAGATTTGTGAAGATGGACTTACAGATTAGCGTGTAAATGATCCGTATTTATGCAGGTTTTAGCCCTATGCATTTGGGTTGTATGTGTTCAAACTGCTCTATGTTTGGACTGGAGTATGCAATTGTGTATACCCAAAATCACACACAAAATGTTCAATACACATTTGTAACTCTTTTGAGAATCATTTAACTCCATAGGTTTAAATATACCTAAATATGACAACAATAAGGATACAATAAAGGTGGCAGTTTTTACTTGAAAACATTTAAATCAATATATCAGTCAGTATGGTAGCTACCACTAAAAACAGTAGGTGAAAAAAATTTGTTGAATACTTACTGTATAGAATTCTCTATACGCGTGATTGTGAGGAAAGCTGCTAGATTGGCAGTATATGAGGATATGACAATTAGAGCAAACATCCACCAAACCCCCATCATCATCCTTGTAGCTAGGGTGGTGTAAGGCACCTCTCCACCTGCAACAAAAGTAAGAAAACAAAAGAGAGAAAAAGAGAGAGTCAAAATCACGGTATAAGAAAAAAAAAAGCAGCTCTTTGCTGCGGGAGAAAAAGCTGTGAAAACAGCAAAGCACATCCTGAACGATTATCATTGGATTAACAGGATTTGATCTGATGCTTTGGCATAGATCTGATCTTCACATGGTCGGATCAACTGCAAGAAATTGCTGTGAACTGGAAAACATCAAAATAACAAATTCCAAATCACTGCGATAAGAAAATCTTTGATATATGAAAACCAGTTTATAAATAATCATACATTAAGTAACATTTGAAATCTTAGGTCTTGGCAAGCATCGAGTGATCAGAGGTTGTCTTCCATTGTCTCGTGATGTTTTAATACACTTTATATAACTAAGAACTAAAATAAAACTATTTGGATGCACATTAAAAAAAACGGTAACCTGCTTTTTGCAATAAATACTGTTGAAAAGATGTGATGAATGCGAACAAAATGCTTGTCAGGCTTTCCCATTAAGATGCTGCCGGGAACACATTACAATGAAAAGTGGCTTGTCTGTCTTCAAATATAAAATCGCTTTATCCTCCTCTTGTGTTATAAACAGCTTTTCTGGCCTTGTCCTCTGAAATCTTGTTCTGCAACAGTAAAACACAAACTGGCTCCGCTTTATATGTTTTTCAAGAAAGGTTGTCATTCCAAATGTAGCCCTCAAAAAACAAGAAAACAACAAAATAAAAAAAAAACTAAAGAGAGAGAGACAGAGAGAGGGAATCTATTTGTTTGTGTACTAACCAGCGCAGAAAACGGGACACATTTATCTTTGGCTCTTCCATTCTTCTCAGGTAGCTGTGTGGGGTAGCCTTTCTATTCATACCCACACACTTGCTTACTGACGACAGTGTTTTTGCATACATTTACTGTAGCTATGCAGTAAATGTATGTTTTTATACCTGTGGTGATCACGGTTACATCAGCACAGACCAGCCAATGCTCTCATGTCTCCCACTTCCCTTAGCCCAGCCTCAATAATATATCTGACACCCACATAATCTCTCTCTCTCTTTATCTCACCACCTTCTCTATATCCACTGGATTCTTTTTTTTTTCCATCTTCCCTTCCTGTATACCGTTTGATTTATTTTAAACGTACTATCTCTTTTTCCCTCTACATGTTTTCTGTTATCCTTCTTTGCATGATTTGCTGTTGACACCAGGTTTTAGCACAAGCCCGAAGGCATTATAACGTATACTGTATGGATGACATGGCATCGTGAATTATGTCTTTAAAATGTTTCAATCTTTTCATTTTTTCAGTAAATGGTCACACATAAAGTGGTTGTGTAATAATTTTAATTTTTTATCAGGTAACCTGAAGAAAAGTATGTGTCACTGTAATTACATAACAGCTATTTTTTTTATGAAAAAGAAACTTTATAATGAAATGATCGAAATAATAAGCCAGCACAGTATTCCTAAGAAATCACTGTGCATGGGAATGTGCGTGGGAAGATGAGATGAAGCATTTTCATGAATGAAAGCAACCAGCAGGCAGAGATGCTTTTTGGTGCCAAAAAACGTCCGAGTACATGCCTGAGCGTGACTGCAGTATCTTGGACTTCAATAGCTTCTAAAACATGACCTTTGTGAATCGTTCCAGCTGCAGAAGGTATTTGGGGATTTGGGGTTTCACACTGGCAATATCCACGGAGGACCAATTAATTCACTGAAAAAAAAGCCATTGTCCAGTCTCAGAACAATTTTTATGTTGATTTCTGGCTGCACAAGTGACTTTTATAAAATATTAATGTAGCTGGCGAGTTTAGACATCCAAGTGTCACAAAATTTTGAGCTCGGAATCAAATCACGTAGAGCAGATTTTTAGAAAAGGTCATTTCGTTTCCTAGTCTTTATATGGATATCTATATATATATCTATATATATATACATACGCGTGTGTGTGTGTGTGTGAAAGACAGAAGCAGATTAATATTACAGAAACTTTAAGCTTATTTGATCATAAGGCGAGCATTGATTTAAAAGCTCAAAAATGTGAGATAATCTCCATCTCTCTATCTCTATCTCTTAACAGCTATAAGCCTATAATACCGTTACACTTAGACACTTTTAGTGTCTCATTATCTCATCCTAAATGTGAGTGGCCAAAAAGCATATATATGATTTTATTGAGCAATATGTCACTGTTCACCTTTCACGCGTCACCAACTACCATCAGAGATTTTAATGATCTATAGCTCACATAAATTTTAAAAAACCCTGAATCCTCAGGGAAAGATGATCAGGACAACACTTTAGAAATTTAGACTCACTGGTCACTTTGTTAGGGACATCTGTTCAAGTGCTCATTAACGCACATAGCTAATCAGCAGCAACTCAATGCACTTATCGAAATAGGTCACCTGCTGTTTAAACCAAGAAAGGTGATTTAAGTGACTTTTAACACGCCATCGTTGGTGGTGGCAGATGGGCTGGACTGAGTATTTCAGTATTTTGCTAATCTACTGGAATTTTCCCACACGACCATCTCTAGGGTTTACAAAGAATGGTCAAAAAAAGATAAAATATCCAGTGAGCAGCAGATATTTGGGTGAAAATGCCTTGTTGAGGTCAAAGGATAAAGTTAAAACTCTTTGATGGACAACAGAAACTCAAATAACCACTAGCTACAAACAAAGGCATGTAGAAGAGCATCTCTGAGCACACAACACATCAAACCTTGAAGCAGGTAGGCTATAGCAGAAGACCACACTGGGTGGATCTTCTGTAAGCTAAGGACAGGAAACCGAGGCTACAGTTTACATGCGGTCACCAAAACTGGACAGTAGAAGATTCTAAAAGCATTGCCTGGTATTGTAAAAATGTATAGTTCTATAAAATCCAATACTAAAGTATATTGTACCAAGAGAAGCATCATTTATAGTGAGTGCTCTCAAAACCATATTTCATAGGATGGGAAAGACTTAGATGGATGTTATCATTTAGTATTGAAACAGCAGTCACCAAACGCTCCAAGTGAGTGAGTGGTTGTGTCAGGTTTCATGGGCACATATACAGGCATAAAGCATGTACGGCACCTTTTATATCATTTTAAAATACACCTTTTATCCTGTTTCATCAGAAAATGGGGTCTGAGGATAAATGACAAAAAAAATTGTGCGTTATTAGAGGTTCACGACTAAGCAGCTATCTCAAAGGATAGTGTGAAGTCAGCATGACATTTCAAACACAGACTTTCTGAACAGAGTACATGTATCTCAGAATCGAAATGATTCAGATTGACTGGTAGGAGGTGACAGCTGGGTTAACTCATTCTATACAGATACAAGACTAATAATGTTATCGTTCTTCTTCGGGGTTCCTTTGACTAAGCTAATCAAGACTACTAAAATAAATCATAGTAATCTTCTGTCTAGGATTCAGAGATTCTTTTCTGAAAGAACTTTTACGTTTTCCTCTGGTTGAACTCCTGAAAAACTTTTTTTAAAGGTAGGAGTGTATGGGTGTCTCAGTTTGCATACGGGTACACGTAAGGATCCTAAGAGAAGCATAGCTGCCATGAAGCAGCTTTTGCAAATACAGCTCGGCGGCTTCAAAAGCACCCCGTTGTGTCCCCTCGATATAGCTCTCCATTCTTACCCCCATGTTTCTCCTGCTACTCCTCTTATTCTCAGCTGTGACTCGTGTAGCTCTGGGCAAACAGGATTACTTTATTTCTTCCTACACAACTCAAAACTAGGAATTAAAACTGAAACTTCATTTAAAGAGGCATACTAAGGATGCTGCAGTTCTTCAAATTACTCTATGAACCATGTGGCTGTCTTTCAAGTTTTAATGTATTTTCCCCTAACTTTCAGGTTTCCATTAGCCTGATGCTAAGTGCTGCTTTCTGTCTTTTTTGATTGAAAGAGTAATTGGATTGCTGGATATCTACATAATTGATTAGTTAATTTGATAGCTGCCCCTTGGCCGTGTAACTGACCGACTGATTAACTTGCAATTTTGCTGGCTAAAAGACCCCTTGGCATTTCATTTTCCCATCTTTTTTTTTTTTTTTTTTTTGCAGCTTCACAATCTAATTTTGTTTGCCTGAACAGACTGATGTTTTGGGTATTATTGGACAAAAAAAAGAAGAAGCCCTTCAGAATATTGTAGTGCAACCTGACTTTCCCAACCCTCGAGACTCTGATTTCTGTTGAGAAAAAAACAGCCCTTGATTGGATATTTTGTAACCTGACACTCCAGATGGTTTGGTAAACACGGAACCATCTGGGAAGTTGTCCTTGGAAACTTCTTGGAAAAGGGCAGGGACTTTCAGAAATTTATTTGGCATGAGTTTGGATGAAGCATATGCATACAACCAAGAACAATGGCACATCTTTAAACAGTCAGATAATTAAACAATAGGGCTTGGCAGCAAAAACCTTTATGTTATAAGTCTGTTTTTTGTTTTTTAATCTTCACCGGGAAAATAAAAGACAAAAGCAAGCAGTTTCATCCAAAATGTTTGGGACATGATTGGTCGACCCCTGAACCTGTTGTCCAACACTGTGAATTTATTAGCCAATAACTCCTCATAGGTCTGATGACTCATCCACAGCAATCATAGTGGAGCTATAAATTCAAGGAAAAACTCTGGCCAGGCAAACCAGATCAGTTGAGTATTATAAAGTATTAGTAATAGTGTCCAAAAGTTGATTTTGTTCATCTAGACGTAGCGTTTTGTGGGAGAAACGATTCGTCACTCATAAAGTGACTTCTTCAGTCTCAGCTGACTGCAGGTTTCCCCAATCTTATAGACAGTACATTTGCATAATGACTGAAACCAGCTCACTGAAGGAACAATGGGCTGGGAGGTCAGTTCCTTAATCTTAATTATGCAAATTCTCATGACCATTGATCAACAACCACTGACCAAAACTCACTGATCAATGGCCATGAGTACCATTCACAGAAAGTTGGGGAATGGCTGCAATCACAG